TGTTTCCGTTTGTTGCTTATCAAACTTGCGAGAGGACGAAACATCGAAATAAAGTAGTGCTATACGATAATCGACTTTAAATGTTAAATGACAAAGATTATATTATTGTAAACTCACCTTAATTTGTCACAGGACGAAACGGTCTCATATCATTGCGATCTAATTTAGACTGTATTTACATTATCATAAAGTACATATTGGCGTGTAGACAATCCGAGGACTAGTTGTTCGACGAAGACTGCTTTGATCCGAAACGTAAAACGGTTCTATCGTAGCGGAACACAAAACGGTCCTTGAAACCGGTTCCTCTTTAGAACGCTCACACCTACAACTGTTGTTTCTCCCGAATGGGCGCTCCAATTCCGCTATGCATTACCTCTCTTAACCAACGACAAGATATTATTCACTTTTCACTTTAGAGTGCTAATGACTGCAAATGTAGCCAAGTGCAACGAATCACGAAGAAGCTCGAAGTTGCTTAAAGCAAAAGCAAGACGACATCTTCTTATTGTCCTTATCAGTGATAATTGTTTTCAATCAGTCATCATAGTCTTCATCAGCTTATTAATGCCCCACTGCTGGGGCACAGGCCTTCCCTATGGATGGAATAGGGAGATTAGACCATGACCAACCACACGAGTCTAGTGGCGGGTGCTAACGACTGCAAATGCAGCCGGGACTAAAGGCTTAACGTGCCTTTTGAAGCACGGAGGAGCTCGAAATAGAAGATTTTTGGTCACCCATCCTTTGACCGACCACTGCGAAAGTTGCTTAACTTCAATCACTGCAGCCGAACGCGCTGACCACTTGCGCCATTGAGCTCCTCGTATTATGGTGTATACAACTATTGGGGCATAATGCCTACATAAGGTATGCTTTTGGTGGTGATGTGTTTCTGTCGATGAGTAAGGTTCTAGGGATCCATGGGGTAGGGGACTGGGACAGGGTAGGAAACGCTTCGAGTGATATTTTTGGTATCGCAAGCGTCTATAGCGTATCGTGACCGCTTACTACCAGGCGGGTCATACTCTTCGCACGTCACAAACAATAAGGTATTAAGTCGGCAAAACCATTTACTTTTTTATATGCGTTTCGAAAACTAAAATTTTTCCCCTAAAAACTGGTAAGATAATTGTATTTTAATTCGAAATAGTTTTTGAATTATAACAACCCATGTCGTCAATTTCTAGGCAAAGTTTATGATTGTGAGTATTCTAAACAGTATTATGTTAAGTTAATACCCTATTGCCCGTTCGGATTAATACAAGTTTGAAGTTTTATTTAAAATAATACCATCTGGCCTGTAAAGTTTTATTTAATATATTATTTTCAGTAAAATTATTTTAAAATGATACTAGGTTTAATTTTAACATGAGCCATTTGAGCCATTTGAACTGCTTATAGGGTATTCTCTTTACCCAGTCACATAAAAGTTCTTTTAAAATAAAAAGTACTATTGATACACTAACTAAACTTACTCAACACAAAGAAGGATAATGTAACTTTAAATCAAGGTATCATTTTAAACATTTGAATAAGTAGTTCCGCTTCTATGATTTTTTAAAACTTCAAAACGCGATATCTCAAAACACTGTTTTTGAAGATAATACCCTTTTGTTTGTGACGTGCGTCTTGTTTTCCACCTTTTTGGTATTGCAAGCTTTTAATATGTTAATAGCTTACCATCAAACAGGTTACATTTATTTTCCACCGTTTCAAAAAACTGTCGGTATACGGTAAAAGAAAACACATCTTTGGTCATCACAGTATTAAATTTTCGAATAGCGAGTCATATAAAAGTCTTTTTGTATCAGTTGAAACGAAAATTAATTTATATAAAAGAAATTGAGAATAGGTCTCCCTGGTTTAGATTTTATTTTTCCCAACATAATATTTTAAGCGGATTGTATGAGTGGTTTTCGGAGAAACAACGTTGAATATAAAGTTGCTGATAGGAATAATTTTGTTTTAATAAATTCTATTTTTATCTTTTTCGTATAGGTCAATACTTTTTTTTATACAGAAATCCATTTTCAACGAAAAATTAAAGCTTCGCATTTTATCCCTGCGTCACGTTCTGCAATTACTGCGTGTAAAATTTTTAAAGGTACATTTTTCATACATATACTCAGAATTTTGTGGGAAATTAAAATAAACGAACACGCAGACTCGTGAAAAGCACGCAGAAAAGCGTCATGGAGTACAACCCACAGAGAGACGTACAGACAGTGAAGGCGTAGTTATTTTGTAATAATGGAGTTCCGTTGTCATCCTTAAAAGATAATATAATAAACACACACACACACACACACAACGAATTACAAACTCCAAAACTATCTTATGGCTCAATTACATTGAGTCGTTAGCCCGAAATCGGGTGCACGAAAAACATTACCCGAATTCGGACACCCGAAGATATAGCTTTATATACACTGGAATACAGGCTGGAAGACGGTGTCGGGCAACCAAAACAAAAACCGTTAATTTACAATAAGTCGTTTACCCGAATTCAATTAGCACTCGTATTCGGGCTTACGAGCAAGTGTAATCGCGCGATTACTTTAGATAAAGTTTTGAACAATATGAAAGAACCAATCAGCTCTCACATCCGGGAGTAACGATGCAATCAAAACCAAGTTTTGGTCAAGTTATGAGCATTTGCTCACACATAACTGTGGCGCGCCTGCCCTGCTCACAAGGCCTTTCGAACCTCTTTCTATGTTCTGTGATACAAACCCACACTTACACCCCACCAATGGTTGGGTAAGGTTAGGTTAGGTTAGGATGGGATCGGTCAAATGGAGTGATCAAACTCCATTTGACCGATCCTGGGCTTATTAGAGACAGTCTGAGACTAAGTCTTAGTCTCCCACTAACCACGGGAACTGCTACTGTTGACTTACTACCTCAGTGTGAATAGAAAGTAAGAAATAATTTTATTTGAGACAAAAACAAAAATATTATAATATAAACAATAAAATAAAACAATTAAATGCTGTCTCAAAACGGTCCCAACTCAGCATAGTGCTAATGTTACCATCAGCGCTGGTCTTCCGTTGTAACCGGTTTGGTGTCGCACGAAACAATAACAAGAAAAACAACAAATAAACAAAATTGAAGCAAAATAAAATACATGAACAAAAACCAAAAAAAAAAAAACATACTGAAGGCTGAACGTATTGAGTAATCTCCGCCACAGCCATTGAAAAAGAAAGCGAGAACAAAAAAAAACATATTTCCTTCTCTCTCACCCCACACACAATGGCAAAAAGACATTTAGCAGACAAGACACAAATTAAATTTTACAAATCTGACTGACTTTTTATTGTTATTGTCTCTTTCAGATAAGACAAGAGATATCCAATTACAAAAATTCAAGTACATTGTTTACTTCTTTCACATATTGTGCTTTCACAACATACTAAAAAAAAAATGGTTGCCTGTAAAGTCGGTTTTACGGGCGAAGATTTTACGTGACAACGTCTTTTTCTCGGTAGAATATTTATTGATATGAATATAATTAAATTGCACAATAGGAACAAGGAATTGAATGAAAATAAGAATTGCACTTAACTATAGAAATATATTTTGTTTACTAAAACATTGTACATGTAAACTTAAACTTAACACGAGAGACTCATCGTAACGTTACCGAGCGTTACACTTTTTCATAAGTGACTCCCAGCCGCAACCTAATTTAAGACGTTGTCACGTCAAAAAGGAAAGTCAATTCCTACTGAACAACCAAGTTAAATCACTCGAGTCTGGCGAAATCCACAAGAGTGCACCGCCATTTTCCAAAAAGAAGAAGAAGAAATCTGTCTGCATAAAAAATAACAACAGCCACAGTAATACTAAATCTATTGGGTGGATATTGGATATTACAATTGGATAAACAATTTTGGCTAATAAATGAGATGAACAAAATACGGGCATACATACAAGGTAAAACTAAATAGCACTAGTGTCGAGCGAGTAATAGCGAGGCACCTAATTCTATCTCACCCTATATGGGTCTGACTGCAGTCTCAACTCCACCTCATATTTGATCAGATAGTTAAAAGCATTTGCGAAGATAGCTAGTGCAATATAAGTTATGAATATTTATACCAATTAACTCCACGAAGTAGGGAATTGGGACAGGGTAGAGAATTGGGACAGGGTAGGGAATTGGGACAGGGTAGGCAACGATTTATATAATATTTTATATATATTTAATTGTATTCTATGCATGTATATTTAGGGATTTTTTAAAATAAATATAGATGTAGTTACTTTTATTGGTGTATGTTTATAGTTAATCACTTTTTTTTTAATATAGCCATATTCGTGAATTTCTCTATTCCTAAAGGTTGACTGGCAGAGAATGCTTTTATCGTTAAGTTGGCCTTTTGTCCATTTTTGTAATTTTTTGTGACAATAAAGTTTAAATAAATAAAATATTTTTGCCAATGCAAGTGTTTAGGTTAGGGTAGCCGCTTACCATCAGACAGACCATACGCTTGTTTGTCATCCTTTTTACATAAAAAAAAACAATCAATTTTGTTGTACCTTTTAGGAAATATTTTCCTATTTTCAAAATCTATAATATTTTTTTTTGCTATGAGTACAAAGCAAACCACAGTCCTTCATCTTAAAAAGACAGCCGTCAATGCCTGATACTGCTGCAAGGTTCGCAAGGCCCGTGTAAAGAACCATCAGATAATCCTAGTCAACAAACTAATTTAATAAAGTAAAACAATCATATCAAAGAATAAAGTCCTAAGTAAAAATAAGTTACAGTAATATTAAAGTTAACGTTAGAATTCCCTTTAAAAGATCTATTTTGAATATTGTTTACAACACAAATAGTTATATAAATATTTTTCTTAGACAACGAATTGATTTATTTCGTGCTTAAAGCATCAAGAGATAAATTCCAAAAGTTTCGACACTATAAAATCGCCAAAAATAACATTTAAAAGAATCAATAATACAACACAGTCCCGTAGCGGCCCGTAGTCAGTCGACTCGCAGCCGCCGCGCGGTACGGTCGCGCTACGACGCTTTACTCTGCTACGCCGTAGCCGTAGTCGGAACGTGCGCGAAAAATGTGATGAAAAATTAAGAAGTGGCATAACAATAATTTCTCAATATATTTTAGTGATCAAGTGACATGATGAAGTGGTTCTTAATTCTGATACTCGCCGGCTGCGCGGTCGCGAATCCTGCTAAAATGGGTCAGTATTAATTATTTATTGGAAGATTGATAGGACAAAGAGTTCTGATATTACCGATCTGATTGGCTGATCAAAGACTCCTGCGAGATATATTTTTTCCTCATGTAATGTGGTACAGGAAATGCTACCATGAATGTGTTTTGTTTGATTTTTTCGTTTTCTCGCTGTATCGCGTAATGGAAAAATAGAAAATATTTTAACAGTAAATACGTTGTGAAGGAACTGTTACTTTTCGATTAACATTAATAAAATAAGTTTTAAAATTCCAGTGTAATTTTATAATAGCCAAAATAAAGGCGAAAGATAAACAACAAACATCTAAAATAACACAAATAGTGTTTGATAATTTTATTTTAATACAATGATATTATAGCTCTATTTTTACCAACTTAGACTTAACTTGGGCTTAGATAAAGCTAAATCTGGTGTCATTGATGTGTGCTTTTGAATCTTCTCATACTGCATAGTTGATCTGCATAAGATTAACTAATGAAATAAATAAATATACGTATCTCACATTGCCTAACACAAAATTTGGCACTGTAAGGTGGTGGTAAGGTACCGTGGTCGAGTGGTTTGTACGTAGAGGTCCCGGGTTCGAATCCCGGTGGGGGCAGATGTTTGTGTGACGAATACGAGCAATTGTACTCCAGTCATGGATGTTTAATATGACTGGAGTACTATTTCTACAAAAATATACTTATATATGTACAGTATATGTATTCTATCCGTTACCCTAGCATCTCATAACACAAGCCTTACAGTGCTTACTTTGGGGCTAGGCTAATTGGTGTGAGTGTTGGACATATTTATTTATTTATTTTATTTAAGGTTTAAGATAATGGATAGAAATCCACAAATGCACGTATTCACGATACAAAGATTAGCACCTGGGATTCGAACCCAAGGTTTTCAGACACTTTTTGAAAACTCTATATTCTCTACTACGGAAGTCATCATTAATCATAATTTTTGACTAATTTAAATCGAACTTTTTTGTTCTACAATAAAGTTGTTTTAAACGATAATATATTATGGATAATATTTATCGAGGACCTCGATGGCGCAACTGGTTAGCGCGTTCGGCTGCGATCGTTGAAGTTAAGCAACTTTCGCAGTGGTCGGTCATGGGATGGGTGACCAAAAATTTACTATCTCGAGCTCCTCCGTGCTTCGGAAGGCACGTTAAGCCGTTGGTCCCGGTTGCATCTGCAGTCGTTAGCACCCACCAATCCGCACTGGGCCCGCGTGGTGGGTCATGGCCCAATCTCCCTATTCCATCCATAGGGAAGGCCTGTGCCCCAGCAGTGGGGACATTAATAGGCTGATGATGATGATGATGATATTATGGTCGAATACATAATATGTACAGCCAATGCCGAGTTGGTACATTGATTTTGGCATTAACTACGCCTCTGCTGCAGTTGAAATAAGAACTAAATTCATAGGTGATTGCAATGTAATAAATATTGCACGTCTGTCCAATGCAGCGGTCTCGAATGTTTACCTAATAGTTTGATCGGTTTTGTAGTTTCCAATGATATTTATTTATTTATTTTCATTTGGGAAACATACAGTTCCACACAATTTAATTGAGTAACACTTATTAATTTTTCATAAACCAGTTAAGTTTCCACAGACTGAAACATTCATACACTTACATAATTTACTTAAGATTACGTACAATATTTAGAGTTATGTGAATAGAATAAACATGATAATCAAAATTTATGATAAAAAAAAATTACTAAGTGTTAGTGTAAAACGACCTTATAGCATTCATTTCTAAATTAATTGTAATAACCGCCATACACACTACGAGAAATCGTTACGATCAGACTGTACAGTTCGAACGGTACAGTTTATACGATTTCGTTTAGTATAGGAAACTGTGCAGTTTTATAACATACACGCTACGATTTATCGGTACAGTTCGGACTGTACAGTCTAAACGTAACGATTTATCGTAGTGTGTATGGCGGGTATAAGAAAGGTAAAATATATCCAATCCCCTGAAGTATTTATTATAGCTGTGACATGCTTTAGAAATGAAACTATTTGCAGCAAACTTGGTCCTGCTGAATTGTATTACAAACGTGTTGTCAAAATTATATAATTCTGTGTGTTTCGCTAATAAATAATTTATTTACAATGTATTGAAACCATTGCAATAAGTATGACAGTATTCTATTTTTATTGTCATTTTGTAACTGAATATTTAACACTTACTTATTTTGAAAACGAATGATGAATGATGAATTTGATGAGCACCGTCTCAGTTTTTTGACCACGCAGACAGGAAAAGACTGAAAAAATCTATACTAAAAATGCGATAGTCCTGCCTGTCTGTAACCTGTTCACGCTCAAACCACTGAACCGATTATGATGAAAAAGATATGGGGATAGTTTGAGTCCCAGGAAAGGATTTTGGATAGTTTTTAACCCAGATTAGTCATTCCACATTGAGAGGTGAAAAGGGTTAGAAGTTTAACATAGTAGGCATCCAACATTATTTTCGTTTTTGTAATCACACAAAATGCTTACAGGACATTGCTAAGAAACTGCCCTTAACGTGTATAATTATTTCGCACTAGGCGGTAACACTATAATATTTTTTTATGAATTATCAAGCGTCATCTCATACAACTTTCGTGAAATAATCAAGTATTTTAAAGTATGAAAATTTACTTCATGTCTGTTTCAAAAGGAAAATCTTCCATTTAAAAAAATATGAACAATAAATGTACACAAAAAATATAAGAAATAAAAAAATATGAACAATAAATGTACACAAAAATATATATGTAGCTATATTGAAATAAACAATATTAATTCCAAACTTCTTAAAACTATGACATATTTGGCCCTAATTTTTATTATACCACATCACTGAAGGCCTAAAATAGTAGATATTATTATTCTGATCATGCTTGAGATTTAGGCTGTATGATATAATTAATCCTTTGATTTTTGCAAATAAACAGAATAAAACTTCACAGATTTTTTGTCAGGCCGATGACAACAAATTATTATTAATTATTTATTATTACAATTATTTTATTAATTAAAAACACTTTTTGTGAAGTGTTAATTAGAGAAATGGGGCGGGAGAGGGTCCTAAGAAAACGCGCAATCTCTGTAAAAAATTGGCAACATCTTTTATCAAATGTAGCAAGGTAATGACATAGTAGGAGTACTTATAATTCTCAAGATTGTAATTTAATCAAAAGTTCCTGAGCCTTTTTTCATTGATATTTTAAACATTCAGCCTTTCAGCCTTAAATATTTCTAAGTACAATATTTATACATTGCTAGGGCAGCCGTTCATACAAAATTTTACCATGTCCTTTAATTTAACAATCTAAAAGGGCTTAGAACACGATACAAATAAAATGTAAACTTGCTTAATAGCAGTACAACAGAAAATATAGGAAAAATTCAACGCGGATCAGGCAGCAGACTCGAATCCGCAACCTTCGCTAACCGGGCGAATGCACTGACCAATTAGCTACCGCGGCCTTGACGGCGAGTCCCATCTGCCTTAACTTTTAAAATCGGGTATCATGCATTTCCGGTTATAATAAGGTACTCTGCGACAGAAACTGTGTGAAGATTGTGAATGAGCCACAGATTAAAGAGAATCTTTAAACTTTCGTTAACCAAAGAAAGCTAAGAGATTTAGGTTATAAAGCCATATATTCAGTAGCTTCATTATTTTAGATATGTTCAATATTTTAGATTTTTAGTGTATCACACCTTATAATGTGTTTATGGAGGTGTTTGGCGAAAAATGTATGAAGATAGACTTTTATGATGTCGCCTACCATCTATAATAATTGTCTAAGCCCATTTGCATGTAGTGAAAATGATCGTCGACGAGGTTCGTATGAAATTGCAAGCAAATGGTTTAAACTAGACTATATATTGTATTGAGAAGCTCGTTGGCGCAAGTGGTTAGCGCGTTTGTCTGTGATCGTGGAACTTAAGCAACTTTCGTAATGGTTGGTCATTGGATGAGTCACCAAAAATTAACTATCTCGAGCTCCACCGTGCTTCGGAAGGCACGTTAAGCCGTTGGTCCCGGCTGCATCTGCAGTCATTAGCACCCGCCAATCCCGCGCGTGGGACTGGGCCCGCGTGGTGGGTCATGGCCTAATTTCCCTATTCCATCCATAGGGAAGGCCTGTACTTCAACAATGGGGATATTTATAGGCTGATGCTGATAAAATATTGTATTTGCTGCTTCTACTAGACAAGGCATTTATGCGCCTTTTTCGGTAGCAACCAACCACCAATCTGTTAAAAGTTAAAAAATAGCAATCTGGGGACAAAAGGTTAAGTCTCTACGCATTCAAAATAAATCCCGATAAGTGATTTTAGCAATGACAATGCATTTTATTTGTTGATCTAAACAAAGAAAATATTTACCAGAACAACATCTACTCTACCCAGGTTTCAAACGAATTCGAACCCAAAGCGTCCGCAATCTGGGAGGGTTCTATACTTGTCTGAACATGTTTCAGACAGGTATCAAACCCTCATAGACCGAGTGTAGTAGGTAATTGTTTTCTTTATTAATCTAAATCTAGAAGTTAAATGCATAACAAAACAAATATGTGCATAGTGCATAACAGAACAATTTAAAACCCTATTTTTATGATTCATAATAACTTTAATAAATGACATATTATTATTATGAATTATCGAGTGTGGAATTGATTCAATGTGAAATTCAAACATTACCGTTGATTCAACGGCGTTGAATGAAATTGCTATTAATAAATTCATGAATTGAGATACGCTTGAAGTGTCGTAGATATCGCGCAGTTATACTCGTTAATGGCGTCGTTACGAAGATTTAATTAATTGTAATACATTCATAATGCGTAAGTTAGTATTTATTTTCGTAAATAAATTTAAAAGTTATAATTTAAATCTGATATTATTATATATCATCATCACACGACTCCCACTGCTGAGCATAAGTTCAAAAGCAACCATTTATTTGTTTTTTTTATAGATAGGTCCGACAAATGACTCCACCCCACCTGATGTTAAGTGATGGTGAAGTCCAGACGTGAAGATAGTTGGTACAGCAGTTCTACCTGCCGCACCAGCCATCCTCACCTTACCGGCCTGCATGTTGCTTTTTCATGCCTCTTTTAAAGGATCCCAGGTTGTAAGAAGGAGGGAACACGTGAGCAGGCAGAGCATTCCAATTGCAGAGCAAAGCATTGGGACAATTTCGAATTTTGTTTAACAGATATATATATATATACCTATTTTGTTTCGCACTCTTATAGGGTATAATATAATTCTTTTTATTTATGTGACTACTATCGACTGAACTAGATTTGTTTATTTATGTGTATGTATGTAAATAAATAAATAAATAATAAATAAATATTTCCAACACTCACACCAATTAGCCTAGCCCTAAAGTAAGCACTGTAAGGCTTGTGTTATGGGATACTAGGGTAACGGATAGAATACATATACTGTAAATATATAAGTATATTTATTTAGAAATACATATTAAACATCCATGACTAGAGTACAAATGTTCGTATTCATCACACAAACATCTGTACCCACCGGGATTTGAACCCGGGACCTCTCGAGTAGGCGACACCATGAAACCCGGCGTTCAAACCACTCGGCCACGGAGGTCGTCAAATGTATTTATTTAATATATATTTATATTTATGTATGTATATAATTGTATATATTATCACCTATATAACTCAAGTGATTTACACCGCCGTCTCTCCCACTTCCTTCTAGTCCTCTCCATCCAAAGGTTGTCTGGAAGAGATCGCTCTAAGCAATAAGGCCGCCCATTGTTACACTAGTTTTAATTGGTTATGTACTAAATTTAATGTTATAATGTGGTGTACAATAAAGTGTTTTGTAGTGTATTTGTATTATGAACTCATATCTGAACAAATAAATTGATTGATTGATAAGTCTCTTCGTAAGACGGTGATTGAGAAGCCTCCAGACGCTTGTGATTGGGGGATTTTATTTCACGTTCTCACTAATTTTATCTATACGATGTTTAAGTTTCTGAGGTAACTAAAAATTTATAGTGTACCTATAACCTGACTTTATTTTATTCTCTCCACTCTGGAACTCTGACAATCTTAGTCACAGGAACAATGTAACACTACAATGAACTTTTATGGCTTTTCCGTCTTAAATTCTTAATGCCTTTGTTGGTAACCCCATGATAAAGTTTGAAGAAAATATGTACTGAACAAATATAGACATCCCAGATATCTGAGCTGTCTAAGCGATATCCAGCGATACGACCGAATGCACCTGGGATGAGTAGAATTAAATGCTAGTAATGTATAGAAATCTGACGTATAAAACTTAAAAACGACGTAACGGACCACTGTTTTTCGAAGAGTAGGTTGTGTTAAAACTAAAAGCAGTTAATAATGTAACAGACTCGAGGCTTGCTAACACGGCCGGATCTCGAATAAGTACAGTACCCAGCACGAATCATTATCGAATTCGAATAGTTTGCGAGTCCGAAATGTCATTGTCAAATGTGTACTGATTTTTAGTTTTCGTTACGTACTTTGTGCCGCTGCTGTTCAAGTTTCCGTACATGGCATTGACTTTTGGTATGCAAACTATTCGAATTCGATAATGGTTCGTGCTAGGGGTACAGTGCGCCCAGCACGAATCATTATCGAATTCGAATAGTTTGCGAGTGCGAAATGTCAATGTCAAATTTTATATGAAAACTTGAACAGCAGCGTCACAAAGTACGTAGGTAACGAGAACTGAAAATCAGTACACATTTGACAATGACATTTCGAACTCGGAAACTATTCGAGTTCGATATTGATTCGTGTTACTTGAAACTTAAATAAAATACTCTAATATTATGACACGTTGCAATACTTGCCGCGATTTTAGTAAAGAGACGATGTTTCTAACTTCAACCCTGTACTTTAGTATCAATATCATAATTATTTTTCATTTCAACACGATATAGGTATATTTTACCCCATTTGGTTTTAGGTTCCAAAAATAAGTCTGACTGTGTTTGGAGAATACTGGGCAAACACCCGGCAACCAATTAACCTCGTTTCGAATTTCGCTGATACGCCATTGAAGTACCTACATGTTATTGCATTTTAATTTCTTTATATCTATTATCCTGATAAATATTAAACTTTAAAGATAACCACATTCATCGACTGTTTAGGCCGCACTAAGTTCGCTTTGTCAGCTACATTATTTATAAATGAATAAACAAAATATACTCTCTCTTTACTTCATTAGGGCTTTAGAATAAGCCATGTTTATAGTTTATTTGAACATACAAATATAACTGAAAAAGCGTGGGGCGCTTCATTATTAAATTTTAAATGAATTGTTAAGCATTATGAATCACGTAATATATCATATATATCATAAATATTGCAACGAATAGCACCAATAAACTATAAAACATGGAAAATGAACAGAATATTTTAAGACCTATCGAATGAGCTCAAACACGATATTTTTTTTAGTAGGCAGTCCAAAGTTCCATCATCAGACCAGCTCGTTGGTACCATAATATTGTATTGTCATCTAATCTACATATAATTGCCAAGTTTCATGATAATACAAGAATTAGAAGTGCGTGTAATTCAGATTCTTAGATTCCATTACATAGTTACATATAGGTCGACCTAATAAAAACGTGTTAATTACAAAGACATACGGCAGCAATGTGAGGTGTCTGTCAATTAATTGATGTTTCAGGATTTTCAACTTTTCTAATTCTGTAACTTTTTACCTGTAAACTTTAAAATTGACTAACGCGGTTCTGAGTATCATTGTCGCTCGATGAACAGCTTAAACTAACACAATAAGATTTTTTCTAGTAAAAGGACATTGGGCAAAAATGTATGGACGCTGCACCCACGTCCGCCACGGCTTAAACTACATTTGCTTGAAAGGTATTATAGTCATGATCATTTGTGCCAAAGCGCATCAAATTCCATCCCGGGAGTCATTAGTTAAGTTAAATAGGTAAACAAGGGAATTAATTTAGTTAGTTCGACACTACATAGGGGGCTCTGGTATTATGGGAGTACTTCACAAGGTTCAAGATTTGGCAAAACCGATAATTGTGTTCAAATATCCAAAGCGTGTTAGATAAAAATCAATCAAGTGACCAGAGAGAGCACAATCACAATGAAGTAAGACAAGTCGACTATTTGCAACTGCAAGTCCTTCAACCCCCGTAAACCGTTTTAAGGTGTCTCAGTAAGTGCAAGCGCAGGATGGATCGGCAGGCTTTGTTGTATATCTGGTTGTTTAATACGATATGGCATATTATTATGGGTAATAATAATATAAAATAAAGGTACCATAAAATGAATTTATTTAGATACTTAAATATGCCCATGTGTCATATCTTTAACTAGGTACCAGGATATTTTTTATATTAATCTTTTGACTCCCAGGATATTTTTTATGGTGTCATAATAAAAAAGGCTAGTTTTTCATAGATCTATCGATTAATACTAATTACATTGTTGGCGGAGCTGGGTGTGTTTTGCCCATTGTCCTTTCCTTTAGGTTTAAACCATCTAGCCAAACAATATGAATACTACATACTACAGATTAGAATAACTGTAGGGAAGCGCTATATTTGCGCTTCCCCACAGCTATTCTAATCTGTTTTGAATGCGCTAATAAGTCTTCGAGTCAGAATTTCTGTCGCATCTGTGAGCTTTCTCTGAGCCTCTTCTAAATCGGTTTACGTTGTAAACGTTGCTTTGCGACGCAACATTCAGATGGCTTCATTCGAATAGTAAACGAACCGTTTGTTTGAGGACCTGGCATTGCGCGACTACTAGAGTTACCTGATAATTATATATAAGTGGAGGAATACAAAAAAGAGAAGCTCAATGGCGCAAGTGGTAAGCGCGTTCGACTGCAATCGTTGAAGTTAAGCAACTTTCTCAGTGATCGGTTTCTGGATGTGTGACTAAAAAAATTACTATATCGAAGCTCAATGCCGCAAGTGGTAAGCGCGTTCGGTTGCAATCGTTGAAGTTAAGCAACTTACGCAGTGATCGGTTTCTGGATGTGTGACTAAAAAAATTACTATATCGAAGCTCAATGCCGCAAGTGGTAAGCGCGTTCGGTTGCAATCGTTGAAGTTAAGCAACTTACGCAGTGATCGGTTTCTGGATGTGCCCAGGGTCGTTCGGTTGCAATCGTTGAAGTTAAGCAACTTACGCAGTGATCGGTTTCTGGATATGTGACTAAAAAAATTACTATATCGAAGCTCAATGCCGCAAGTGGTAAGCGCGTTCGGTTGCAATCGTTGAAGTTAAGCAACTTACGCAGTGATCGGTTTCTGGATATGTGACTAAAAAAAATACTATATCGAAGCTCAATGCCGCAAGTGGTAAGCACGTTCGTTGCAATCGTTGAAGTAAGCAACTTTCTCAGTGATCGGTTTCTGGATGTGTGACTAAAAAAATTACTATATCGAAGCTCAATGCCGCAAGTGGTAAGCGCGTTCGGTTGCAATCGTTGAAGTTAAGCAACTTACGCAGTGATCGGTTTCTGGATGTGTGACTTAAAAAATTACTATATCGAAGCTCAATGCCGGAAGTGGTAAGCGCGTTCGGTTTCAATCGTTGAAGTTAAGCAACTTTCTCAGTGATCGGTTTCTGGATGTGTGACTAAAAAAATTACTATATCGAAGCTCAATGCCGCAAGTGGTAAGCGCGTTCGGTTGCAATCATTGAAGTTAAGCAACTTACGCAGTGATCGGTTTATGGATATGTGACTAAAAAAATACTATATCGAGTATATTGTTTTAAACTTTCATGGTCACTAACATTATAGATATTAACGGGATTGTTACCATGTCCATATCCATCATCACAGTCCATGATCATAGTCCATGTAACATACATGTATCATAGTAAAGTAATGAGTTACTCCATGATCATGGCGCTTGCAACAGTGCCGAAATATCGAAGAATCATTAAAAACAAGGTATATGGTAAAATCCCGTTAATATCTTTAATACTATATCGGGCTCCTCCGTGCTTCGGAAGGCACGTTAAGACGTTGTTCCCGGTTGCATCTTCAGTCGTAAGCACCCGCCAATCCGCATTGGGTCTGCGTGGTGGGTCTTGGCCCAATCTCCCTATTCTATCCATAGGGAACCCCAACAGTCGGGCCATTAATAGGCTGATGATGGTGAATACATAATAAGTCAAGCAGTCCAGTAGTCAGAAGCACTTCCCACGCTGGTTTTCTTTGGTAAACACAATTATGGACAATTGCTTAGTATAAAAATAAAGGCTTCGATCGAAATCAAGTTTTTTATTGTGTTTACATGGAAACGTGTTAAAATAAATCGGACGCTGTTCAAAGAGCCTTTGATTTCATTTCATTTTCATTTCAGTTTCATTTCGTTTTCATTTCGTTTTCATTTCGTTTTCATTTCGTTTTTATTTCGTTTTCATTTCGTTTTCATTTCGTTTTCATTTCGTTTTCTTTTCGTTTTCATTTCGTTTTCATTTCGTTATCATTTCATTTTCATTTCATTTTCATTATTCATCGGCAATGAATGTCAAGTGGAACATCTAAACAGCGACAGCTCATTCACAGTAGCGACATGATTTTTTTGTAACTGTTGCTACTTCTGTGAAATGCTGATGAGTTTCATGCGCCCATTTTTCTCATCAGCTAAAAGATGTCCTGAAGGTAGGAAAAAAATTAGGACGATTCAAACGAGCTATCAAAATGTAAATTTGAATAAAGTATCATTTTTTTCTCAATATTTTTTGATAATCTACCTGATAGGTGAAGAAAGATAAAATTTGTCAACATCCCTATTTGGACTTAGCTATGATGTTATTTCTGCGATGTAGAAGTATTTAGAAGTCTCCGTTATCCTCTAAGGCAGAGTTCCCCAAACTTTTCTGTGTCGTAGACCCCTTGCCATGTTTTACCGTGTTGGGTAGACCCCCTACTTACCTGATATTGATTTTTTTTCGCTGACGTAGACCCCTTGCAGGTTGTCATAGACAACTAGGGGTCGATATAGATCACTTTGGGAATCACTGCTCTAAGGAATCAAGTACAAAGATCTGCATTCATTCCATAAGTCAGGGATCACTCCCTGCCGCATCTGCCGGTAACGATTTATGCGTGTACCGCTGCATCCGTGCCCTAGGGTCCGACGTGACTGCAATACGTTTACAGGACTTCACACCGTATTTGAAATACACACAGTCGTGCATGACTCTCAGATTTATTCTAGCTATTTGCTCATTGTTTACACTTTGCAGTACGGGTGGAATGAGAAATCGATTCGAGTAGACGTGGCGGCGGAGTATTTACTTCCCAAGAAAAATCTATATGTGGTATTGGTTAATTTTTCTAGGAAGACCAAAGAAGTCCGACATCTCATATACACTTAATGATACGGAAAAATTACAGAAGACCCCCTTTTTAGATCTTCACCAATTGACAAACGAAGATGGTTTGTCTACAAAACATGATTTCAATTTAGGCAAAACACACAAGTAGTACTCTAAAATTAATTTAGAAAATGTATCTATACTTTTATATATTAAAACTTATCTAATTGCTATACAATTTACTATGGTTTAAGACATTTATTTCTCAAAACCCCTAGCACGAACCAATATCCAATTCGAATAGTTTGCGAGTACGAAATGTCATTGTCAAATGTGTACAGATTTTTTAGTTCTCGTAGCGTCCGTTATGGCGCTGCTGTTAAAATTCCATACAAAACTTGACAGTGACATTTCGTACTTGCAACGTTACGAATTCGAAAATGATTCGTGCTAAGGGTACTGAATACAAAATTCACTTACATGAGAAAACAAAAGAATCGTCCAGTACGTGTGTTATACGAGTATGAGACGTAGGAAAAAACAAAAAGACGTACAAAATACTATCAGAAACAACACAGACGCTAAACGATAGCTTAACTGGCGATAATTTGACACGCATAAAAAAAGATTGTGGGAGAGCATACTGTTACTGTTTTGAAAAAGAAATGACTTAAACGATAGTAAATTGTATAGCAATTAGATAAATTTTAATATATAAAAGTACAGACACATTTTCTAAATTAATTTTAGAGTAATACTTAGGTGTTTTGCGTAAATTGAAATCATGTTTTGTACACAAACATCTTTGTTTTTCAATTGGTGAGTATCTAAAAAGGGGGTCTTCTGTAATTTTTCCGTATCAATAAGTGTATATCAGATGTCGGACTTCTTTGGTCTTCCTAGAAAAATTAACCAATACCACATATATAGATTTATTTTTCTTGGGAAGTAAATACTCCGCCGCCACGTCTACACGAATCGATTCCTCATTCCACCCGTACTGCAAAGTGTAAACAATGAGCAAATAGCTAGAATAAATCTGAGAGTCATGCACCACTGTGTGTATTTCAAAGACGGTGTGAAGTCCTGTGGACGTATTGCAGTCACGTCGGACCCTAGGGCACGGATGCAGCGGTACACGCATAAATCGTTACCGGCAGATGCGGCAGGGATCCCTGACTTATGGAATGAATGCAGATCTTTGTACTTGATTCCTTAGAGCAGTGATTCCCAAAGTGATCTATATCGATCCCTAGTTGTCTATGACAACCAGCAAGGGGTCTACGTCAGCGAAAAAAAATCAATATCAGGTAAGTAGGGGGTCTACCCAACACGGAAAAACATGGCAAGGGGTCTACGACACAAAAAAGTTTGGGGAACTCTGCCTTAGAGGATAACGGAGACTTCTAAATACTTTTAAATAGCAGAAATAACATCATAGCTAAGTCCGAATAGGGATGATGACAAACTTTATCTCTCTTCGTGTATCAGGTAGAAATATTGAAATGAACTCTATTCAAATTGACTTTTTGATAGCTCATTTGAATCTGTTAGGATAATGGCAGAAAATATTAAATGCGGCTTTTCTATAATAAAGACTTTATTTTCCTTTATGTTATCATTACAACTTCAAATAGTTAAACAACTCTAAAGCACAACACACCATTTATAAGTTCAGCAAAAACCAGAAGTTTTTTTTTTATAACATAGATTACAAAACAGAAAGGCAAAGGGATTCAACTATTATAATGCCAAGTATTAAATCACATATTCTTAATAGAATTATCCAATATTTTTTCCTACCACCTATTCAGGACATCTTTTAGCTGATGAGAAGAATGGGCGCCAGAAACTCATCAGAATTTAACAAAAGTAGCAACATTTACAAAAAAGACATGTCGCTACCGGTACAACGTCTACTCACATTTTGATTGCTGTGTCATACAGTATGAATACAAGGTATTGATAAAACACCCATTATTTTGTCACTGTGTTTGTTTGTAGCCCAAAATCGATCTGAGTGGTGTGCAATTGGAGAGGCCTATGTCCAGCAGTGGACTAGGATAGGCTGTTGATGATGATGATGATGATGTGAAATAATCAGAAGCGATTTATATATACAGGTTGTTACAAAAATACAAATAAAGCTTGAAGGGCTTTGAAGTACATCATATAAGAAGTCTTCCCTAATTTTCTTAACATATTTGCATGAAGTTTAAACTTTTTATAAAAACAGTTATTTTTAATGATCCTCGAACTAGTGACGTGATAATCGATATTTTTATTAATCAGAAAAAAATTACTGTTTTTATAAAAAAGTTTAAACTTCATGCAAATATTTTAATAAAATTAGAGAAGACTCCTTATATGATGCACTTCAACGCCCTTTAAGCTTTATTTGTATTTTTGTAACACCCTGTATGTCTTATGTACATAAGATACTATATTTATAATTTTGCTCCAAGTCAAACTTGAAGCAAAATTGTAGACAGAGACAGAGTAAATAAGTACATAAATCGGATACAGCGGATTTACTCATAAACCAAACTTAATTTCACCAAAATCGGAACTTCGGTTCAATCGAACTTTTTACTAATAAGTAGAGGAACTAGTGCTACGATTGCTTTTACTATTTTTATATTCATTCCTCGAAATAAATTTCTTTTCTGGTGTTTTTTTTTGAACACGAGGTTTTCGTGATGGGTTTCAACGGCCTAGCGTATCTTTTCTTCGATTCTATTTAAGATTAATTAGTTACTTAAAAGCGAGTTCCGCGAAACTCAAAAGAGGTGAAATCTTTGAGTTTCTGAATGAAATTCCAAGTCAGTATTATGTGTTGATGAGGAACTCGATAGCGCAGGTGGTTAGCGCGTTCGGCTGCGATCGTTGAAGTTAAGCAACTTTCGCAGTGGTCGGTCATTAGATGGGTGACCAAAAATCTTCTATCTCGAGTTCCTCCGTGCTTCGGAAGGTACGTTAAGCCGTTGATCGCGGCTGCATCTGCAGTCGTTAGCACCCGCCAATCCGCACTGAGTACGCGTAGTGGGTCATAGCCCAATCTCCCTATTCCATCCATAGGGAAGGCCTGTGCCCCATCAGTGGGGGCTGATGATGATGATGATGTTCAATTCACAAAATATTAAAAAACTGCCTCCCATGTTGGCCTGGAAGCGAAAGGAAACTCTACATATTTTATTGAAACTTTCTGCTATAAACTTCATAATAATTTTTGAGATTCATTTTTTAAATTTATCTTCCAATGAAAAGAATTACTTGTAACAACATTTTAGTAAATAAAATATCTCTGCGAACACCACAATAGGCTATTTTAATATTCCGTTATTACTTGTACAATTCAATAACAAGGTTGGCGAGTGAACAAGCGTCAACATTAATCATGTTCCAACATTAAAGATATATACCTAACGATAATTCCCGAACATAAAAACGTAGACATTTCTCATAAATCCGGGAATATAATAGTACCGCCCATCAAGCCTGAATGTAAAAGGAAGAGGGGGAAAACGGACAACGTTTCGGCGGGCACGTTTTCCGCTGTCAAACACAAAGGTCAAAGATTATGAACATGATAGAAAATATTATTACCACTATACGTCGAAGTGGGAAAAAAAAAATTGTGTGTGTCAGCTCCGACGCACGACTGGAGTTTACTTCTTAAGTTCGATAGTCTAACCAGACGCAAAAAGAGTTTATTTAACTTAAAAAAGATTGATACTGTATGAAAGGGTAAATTAACAAATTAATGAAAATAATATACATATATAAATATATATTTATTCATTTCATATACATTTGTTATAACTAATCGACGAAATATTTTACCATAAACTTTTTACAATAGTCAATTTCAGATGTGTATAAATATATCGTTAGGAATGTTGATAAATTATGTAATTATTATTATCAGACATTTATCATTTTTTTAAATATTAATTAAATCAACATTGTCTGCATTATTAATTACAGTGACAAGTGGTTTATGGTAACTAAAATAAGACACATGGATGTTCGTAGATACGTGGTTCAGGAATCTTGAAATTACCGCATCAATGGTTGCACCATACCTCGTTGTCCCCATTGCTCTATCAGAAACAATATCTGTCAAATTCAGTTCAGATTTTAAAATTTTTATTAATGTCAATCCGTCATCTTTGTTTGTCAAAGTTGCGCGACATAGGATGCGCACCAAAAACGTAACGAGGTCATTCATCGATAGATTTTACTCCTCACATTTTTCTCATACCGGGCCCCTTATATATGCAAATCGATTCTTAAGGAGTAAACTCCAAAAATCTTTATGTTGCTTTCTAGGCTATAAGCATTTGAGATCTTTCTAGACAAATAGGGGGCTGTATTATTAGTTAACAAACCAGATTGCAAACGACTCTTGCCTTTAACATTCCGACTATCGGATTCTCCACTACGTCTTTGCTAGTGCCAAAATTCTGTTCGGCAATTCGGTTCAACTTTTTTGTTGTGTGGTACGAAATTTAAATGGAAATTAGAAATGTCTTTTCTTATACATACATGCTTTAATGACGAAAATGTTTTTGTTAACATAGTTAAATTTTGTCAGTATCAATAAGTATAAGAATTTATGGTGTGATTTCCTAGAGGACTTAATGTTGACGTCGTATTATAAAAATTCAGCGACTGGTTCATAGTAGATATTGTGATGTAATTGTGCAAAAACCTAGCTCCATACTTATATTTCTATTAGAATTGGATCCGGATCTACATTTGTGGTGAAGGAGCTACACAAGCTCCCACCCGTCACGTTCGACCACGTCGATGTCACCAGGTTGCTCAAGGACATCAACTTCCTAAAAGCAAATCAGGCCGATGTAGTGAACAAGTTGAAGGAATCAAACAACACTATCGGTGAGTTGCGGGCCCAAGTGGAGTTTTTAAGTAGCGCCGCTTAAACAAGTAAGTCACCCGAGGCCTCCAACGTGAACACACGTCGCGGGACGCATAATGCATCCGTCAGCAATTTAGAGTCGGCGCATACGAGTGCGTCACCGGCCGCCATCATCGTGCGCCAGGCCGATTTTTTTTATAACGCAGGTAAAAAATGCTATTTACAGACGACGGCGCCTTTAAGAGGCACACCGCCGAACGGACCTCACACCTGGCTTCCGTAAGTCTTACTGGCGCCCCAGTGGTTGTCCACCGAGGACCCCGCAGCTCTTACGGGCGCTTTACGGCATAGTATCCGCTAAAAAAGTCCTGCGTATACTCTCTAAGCTGCTTAGCGCGAAGCCGCGGGATCCCCGTTTAGGGATTCTTCCGCGTCTCCGCACCTAGCAGCCTCCCGGCCTAACCGGGGCTCCACGGCAGGGGTCTCCCGGGGTATCACGGGGACCCCGCAGACGTGCGCAGGATGGCCCGCGCGTGGGGGTTGAGTACGCGGCCTAATGCCCACCGTACGTGCGTGCCCGTGTAGCTCCCTCCGCCGCCCCCCTCTTTGCAGGACAGAACTACAAGGCCCGCCCCTCGTCCACACTGAAGACGTCGCGCGACTGCACGTTAACACTAAACGCGCTTACGCAGCTGCAGCCGCCAGCCGACCCGTCTCTGTCACGCAACCTGAGCGGAAATGCATACCCAACGAAGAAGGGTAGTCAAGACATCCCTTGTGCAACTCCGGCGGAAACACGTCACCGTAATTGTGACGAAGAGGGTTTCATCACCACGGAGAGGAAGAAGAAGAAGCCCACTCGTCGCAATCGGTGTCGCTCCGATCGGACCGAATAATCGTACAGTGATACCAGTGAGGCTACTGTACGTGTCCCACTTGCATTACACCACGAAGGCGGAGGAGATCGCAGAATACTTGCGTACGAAGACCAATTTCTCCCAGAGGGTTGCGCGGTTGGAGTCTCGCCACGACATGGATTTTAGTTCATTTGTGGTGAAAGTTACGACTGAAGATCTGGCGACCTTTTTGAAAGAGGAGCTTTGGCCGAAAGGTGTGGTATTCCGGCGTTTCAAAGGCAGGCTACCTGACACCACTCCGCACCAAACGTGTTATTTAGAATTTTTAATTATTTTATATTTCATATTTATGTTAGACTATTAGGTATATACTTATATTTCTATAAGTTACGCCTGAATACAAATAAATAAATAAAAAATATTTCCGGTCCAATACATTAAAACATAGTAAAATAAATAAATAAATATTTCCAACACTCACAACAATTAGCCTAGCCCCAAAGTAAGCACTGTAAGGCTTGTGTTATGGGATAGTAGGGTAACGGATAGAATACATATACTGTACATATATAAGTATATTTATATAGAAATACATATAAAACATCCATGAGTGTAGTTCAAATGCTCGTATGTATCACACAAAGATCTGCACCCACCGGGATTCGAACCCGGGAGCTCTCGAGACAGCGACACCTTAAAACTCGGCGTACAAATCACTCGGCCACGGAAGTCGTAAAAAGACAAGAAAAATATGCTACATAACATTCTTACAAAAAATAAGTTACCTGCTAAAGTGGAGGCTGTATGAACTTAGTTTCCTTTGCCTTCACAATGGGTGATTCGAATCCAATACAATTCACAGTAATAAACTACAAGCTTAAGTTAGACAACATTCTTATTAGGTACATCTCCAACCATCTCACTGCGAGAAATAAATACCTAATATAGTAATATACGGCTTCTCTGAGAGTAATTTCTCGTGTAGGCATTAAAGCCTTTGTGATCCATTCGCGTATTCTAGTCACGCGCGCATCGCACCTCGACTGTCGCTCGTGGAAAATATTGCCTAAGCATAGATAAATAAAGGTTTTGATTTGTTTACCTTCAGGACTAGTGACAAATAATGTGATCGATGGTTTTCAGGAGTGCTCCGAAAGATTTTCATGAAGGAATCGGTGTGCCACTTTGTTTGAAAGCGGAACACGGAAGATTTAGAAAGTTTAATATAATTTTAATACCCTAATCAATCATGAACAATGAGATTTTCTTATGTAGGTTTAAGAAAAACTTTTTTGCCCAAATGCCACTTTTTAAGTAAGGAACTCTGCAAAGTCAATAATGGATGGATGGCCAAAAATATTATGTGTTATAGCAATTACTGTTAAACCACTTAGACTCAAGGCAAAACAGAAATCTGTTTAACTTCTTTTGTTTTGGGTGATTTCCAATGACACCATTCCTAATTATATAAATCATCATCATCATCAACAGCCTATCTTAGTCCACTGCTGAACATAGGCCTCTCCAATTGCACGACACTGAGATCGATCTTAAGCTACTCGCATCCAGCTCCAGCCAGCCACCTTGCGCATATCGTCACTCCACCGTGCCTGAGGACGTCCTACACTACGTTTGCCTAGACGCGGTCTCCACTCCAGAACTTGCCTACCCCAACGGTTATTGCTTCTGTGGCAAATATGGCCAGCTCACTGCCACTTCAACTTGCTAATCCGGTGGGCTATGTCGATAACTCTGGTTCTCTGCCGGATCACCTCATTTCTGATGCGATAGTTCAGAGAAACGCCGAGCCCTTTCCTAACTTAATACGCTCTAGATAAATTATTCTATGTTAAAGTTATGTGTGGTTTGAGCTGATCGAACAGTACTTCAAAGATTATTTCCAGAAAATTAAGGGGAACCTCTATATAAGTCTTTGCTAAAAATTCACATACGTTTTACTTCCTTTCAGCGTTTGTATTAGGTAATTGAAGCACTTTAAATCGCTAATTGTATATATCTACACATACGTATAAACCTTTTATCACCAGCAAAGCTTCGACGCCTACTAAGTAAACACTTAATACAACTCACGATTCGTAATAATGCAAACCGCCTTGGCAAATGTTATTACGCCAAATAATTTACACACAAGCATTTCCGCGCGTCAAACAATAGAACGCAAATAGAATGAAAACATATGGCACTGAAAATGGGACGCGAAGCTTCATAATCTTTGAATGTTTATTATGTTTACAGATATCTTGAGGATTAAAATACAAGACTGTAATTGTAAACATTGCAAATTTTGCGAAATTTTCCATAATGAAAAGTTTAAATTTAATAATCACCTCCTGTACAATTCTCGGTGATACAGTCAGGGAGATAACAAAACCCTAAAATATAGAAATCATGTAAAATAAAATTCTACATATAGATACGTTAATATGAATTTATGTTAATTTAAATCAACATTTTGCCATCTCTTTGTTCTTGCGGTACATTTGAGGAAACTCGCAGATATTTCCGATGCGATGCGAATTCGTATTTATGTGTGAGAGCACTAAGTATAAGTTCCGACCAAAGGAAATCCTTGCCCTTTCGCTGCAATACAAATTATTTTTTAACAGGTCATTGAGATGCTAGCAGCACTCATTGTAATAACGAAATGATATATAAACTGATTGTTCTATATTTCTCATGCGTCTCTGATGCTCTGTCAATGACAGTAGATTCAAAGTGAAACTATACATTCAAAATAAATAAGTACTATTATTATTTCAAAGCAACCTCATATTATTTTTACAACATAAAACCATATGAAAAGTGCAGCATTACAGCATTTTGAAATGTAAGTTTAAAACATTGTGACAATTTTGAACATTGCCGCAGCGTTTGTAGGTGCAATATTTCTCCGTGCATTTTTCTAAAGCGTAGACAATTGCACTGAGCTGAAACGTTTTCAAGAGTGCCGAGGATGAAATTACTGCGCGGGTTTATCTAGCTGGGACATTCAAAAGTAAAGGTATATTATTTTATGTCACACATTTCGAAGTGGAATTCTCGAAAACGCCTGCGAAAATTTGCCAACTACAACCAACAATAATCTACAGTAGGTTTTTAAAATAAAATAAAATAATTTTAAGTAGGTGCGGGCTAAAATGGGTTTATTTTATTGAACAGCAATTGTTCTATCTCGATTGGGCTTAAGGATTTTTTGTGTAATACAAAATCACATTATTATGACCAAAGAACAATTCAAATCTTTGATTATGACATTGGCAATTGCAATTGTCATTTCGCTTGCGATGCGAACATTTTTTGTTGTTTGTGTTTTACCAATGCTTTCTTTGATTTTGTGATTTGTGCTATTTCCTACGATTTTTTTATGGACAACTAAATTTTCGTTAAAAGACGATACTAATGTCTGCTAGTTTTATGGACAATGTTACTAACAATGGCGGGACTACCTACGTTCATCTTAATAAATTGATGGTAAATAACACCATACTACAAAGTGACTGTATTCTAAATTAATAATTAAAAATTAAAACAGTTAAAGTGGGTTTTGTTAACGAATATCTCTTTAAATTGCAGATATTGAGAGAAGCAAGAGTGTCGTATTTCGTGTGTATAGGTTGTCATCAGTGCATCACACAGACAACCAGAAGGCAGCAGATGAGACTCGAACCCTTCGCTATCCGGGCGAACGCACTGACCATTTTGCTACGGAAGCCCTGATGGCCGTGTCGAATTTTCTCTAGTACTTCTTAGACTGTTAGTGCATTGTTTACATTCACCCGCATAGCGAAGAGTGCGGATTCGAGTCCCATTTGCTGCCTGGTCCGCGTGTTTTTCTAGTAAACTATAGATTTAAACATCCAGCAGTGAAATGCTAAAAAGAATACATAGTTAAACTTGACTACTGGTCAAAGACATAGAAGAATGCGTATTTTTTTTTACAAATATTAATTTACGATAGTATTTTTATGTAAAGTCACATTTAATTATATATCAAATAACGCGGCCTTAATCTGTATCAAAATTCTTGTCGCAAGCGGCCCTAAATAAATAAATAAATAAATATTTCGAACACTCACACCCAATTAGCCTAGCCCCAAAGTAAACACTGTGAGGCTTGTGTTGTGGGATACTAGGGTAACGGATAGAATACATATACAGTACATATATAATTATATTTATATAGAAAAAGATATTAAACATCCATGACTTTAGTACAAATGCTCGTATTCATCACACAAACATCTGCCCCCACCGGGATTCGAGTCGGCGACACCATGAAACCCGGCGTACAAACCATACGGCCACGGCGGTCGTCAAATCTATAAAAAAAAACATTACATATTCAATACAAGTGTTACACGACCCGATATGCTTCAACTCAACAATCTAGTACATTGTTGGAGGTAGCCCGTTGCGACCGGGAGCGCACTAAAACTCCAGCGTCTAACTACCCAGGGGCACATTACGGCGACGTGAATGCACATATAGTACAGTACGTAACAACGTTAATAGGGCACCATACAAGCGAGAAACTGCAATGCCTCAACTTGTGGCTGTGAAACGACTGGGTGTTTATAACTATTTCTGTTGTCGCGCGCATTGTTTCCGGAATGAATCAATTTGGCCAACTTTGTTTAATTATCAAATGCATGTAGTTTCAGGATAGCCTTACCGTCAAATGGGACATATCTTCGTTGTCAAAACAATAATTTTAAAATTTATTGTTACGATATATCTATATTCTCAATGAGGTAATGGAAGGTGTACACGACTCCGTATATAACAATACAGGGAGAAAAAACAGCCCTTGCTGAGTTTCTTGCCGTTTCTTCTCAGTACAAGGTCTCCCGCCGTAGTTTTGCGTACCGATGGCGTAGTTTCTTGACCTTCACAAGTGCTTGTAATAGCCTAGACTGAATAAATGATTTAATTTCATTTGAAATATCTGCTATATGCACTTTTTGGTGACTTCGACATTTCCATTTCATTATGCTTTATTATACTAACCGATTTTCAAATACAAATACTGCTATAATAATAGTGTTATAACGGTGAACCAGATGTTTGGTTGGCTAAAAAATATGCTATTTGCATCAGCCTAAATACTGTCAAATATTAAAGAATCAAAAAACTGAATCCAAAGTTAAACATGAAATATTTTTGCCAGATGTTATCAAAGAGGAGGATGATGTAAAAAATGCAGATTTTTATTTACTGTGGTAGATTTATAGAAGATACTTCTTTGCGTGTTGAAATAAAACAGGAATGAAAGGAGAATAATCTAGTAGATTGCCAGTCAGATGATGAACTGTTCAGTGCTAACTAGCAGTTGATGTTGTTGAA